TAAACCAGTTTTATTAAGTAAATACTTGTGTCGCTTGAGTTTCGTCGGAACGAAGTTACGGAAAATCAATTAACAAACGGAGACGTAACAATATTAACTGACTGAAGCCTATAACTTTCTACAAACTACGGAATGTTATGATGTGACAATACTAACTTAAAGCAACAAGAAAAATTCAGAAGGTTCGAATTGCGTGACGTCAATTCAAAACAACTGAACTACACAACCAATGATTCGTAAATAATCATGCATATCAAACATCATCTCATATACCACCTCTCCTAAATTCGTAGAAACACTTTTTGGTTATATGTGTAATTATCAAAAGTTGATCATGAGGAATTTTGAGGTTGTATCCCCGAATTGTGAGATTTTTCAACACATTTTTGATAATATATTGTGCGTAACCCAAGAGTTAGCTGAATTTTCGAATAACCCTCTAATATGGTGGTCACAATATCGCTGTCCATTCCACATCCAAAAAGGGTAGTCCAACCCACGTCATTGAACCTTTTTAATTATACAAACTTGAGTTTGATCGAAATTAACATAAAATAATAGGGTAAATCGTTATATTATAAACTAATTATGACAGTTATTCAATTTAAAGTTTTATGTCATAATGAGAGAGGCCTAGTTCACGAGTTTCTCTTGACTTGACTTTCTGATAAAATGTTCCCTTTAAAATTTGACTGACCTTATAACCACCATGAAAAATAGGAAATAACTATAAATTACCTTTTTTTCTGAAAAGACTACATATTGTAGCTCAAAAACTACATTTGTTTATCCTGAATAGTTTATAGCTTGTAACGTTTTATATCTTTGATAGATTGTTTAGGCAGAGTATTCATGATGAAACTTTGTAGAATGTATGGCAACTGTCTGTTGTAGAGACACAAGTGTAGAGGATGACGTTTCGAAAGTTTTCTGCCTTTCGTCTTCAGGTCAGTCTTTATAGTATTCTGGTGGGTTGTGGAGAGCATGTTATGATTTAATCTGTAATCTCTGTTTATTGAAGAGTTAATGGTGTTAATATAAAATGATACTTTATTTTTTCTTGTCTTCCAAACTTGTCAGTGTCGATGATTCTAGTTTTTCCAGTTTATTTTGTGTCAAGTTGACATTACGTGTTCTGCAATAAATTCGGCCCCACTGAAAATTTGGAGAAAAGTGTGTATAATGTATTGTTTGATAATTAAGAAACTGGTGTTTTTAAACTCAGACATCAATAAAACGTACACAGATCTGTCAGTTGCATAAATATTTGATCTCCTTGATACCTTGAATATTAATTTTTGATTATTCTTTATTCAATTACTTATTTTTACTGAAATGTTTTGGCAGATACCATGTTTGTGAAAGGGAGAGTCACAAACGGTCGTTATATAAGAACAATTTGTTCTGCCATCTAGCAACCAGAAATGAAACTGCTATTTATTAAATATGTAATAATGTATGCTTATAAACTGAAATCCCTGGCAAGTAGTAGTTTTCCTTTTTTTTATTATTTCTCACAAAAATACGTATGGTAGAAAACATAATAATATTACTGTTATACAAGCTGTAAAACACTCGATAATGGCAATGAGGTGCTTAAATAAGGATATGACTCAACTTTAGCAGTTATTTGTAAGCATCATAAAGTAGTAGATTGAATGTGATGACCATTTTTTCTCAGCCCATCCCCACATACCATGGTCAATGATTTTTATCACTTCTATTGTTGTACTTCCCCTCTCTTCCAAGCCCCTTAGAGGCCTGAGTCCCGAGGATTTTCCCCGGTACCTCGGCCCTATTGGTGGGCTTGCCTGGAATATGTATTTAACTTCTTGATGTGACCAACCTCCCTGTTGTCAATGAAAGTTTAACCTCTGGTCTAGTAATTGCCATGTAGTGTACAGGTATTTCCTCATCATAGACTGTGAAACTAACTTGACATTGCATCAACGTTTCTGCATATTGTTCATCCCTAATATGCACTATTACTTGATTTCAGACACCTACTCATCATGAAGTGCAGAGAATCTTCCTACACTGAAGGTAACTTCAAACTTTTCTTTCATTGGAACTTTATGTACATCTGCCCTTTTCTTTCTTCTCCTCTGCAGGTAACTTCCACATTTTTCTTACCAAATTCGGTCAAACAACTGTAGGCATTGTGTAAATCAACACAATGCGAAGTTGTCCATGAATTCGTAGATGACTTTTCTCAAATAATAAACTTCTTATCTCATTTCCGGAAAATGGAGTGTTCCTAAATGAGCATTGCCCCATAAAATCAAGCTAATTCTTGATGTCTGTTTAGCTCTTTCTGATTTATTTGATCTGGTTGGGTTAGGTCTCCTTGTTTCAATAACAAATGTTGATTCCTCACAGTCACAACTGTAATGGCCAGGTTTCCCACAACTATAACAGTTCCCTCTTTCTAGCACCCTCTGAAAGGAGTTTTTTATTCCATTAAGGCTCTTCTCTGCAGTTTCTGCAATATGTCTTGTGGTTTATGCCCTCCATTCTGTGTGACTATTTGTCTAAATAATACTTTCAGTTTTTCTAGACCATGATCAAGAAGGGAGATGATTTTTTAATACTATTCAGTATAATGATTCAGTAACTTTTAGATGGTGCATTTAGTAGTTTACTGTGTTCCATCATCAACTATAAAACGTCTCTTAAAAATGTACACCTACTTTGCTTCAACCTTATTCTCATATATTCGTCTGTTATGGCATCTATACATTGGTTATGTGCCAATGAATGTGCAATTTCACATGGATCATTCAGTTAAGATAATTGGCAAGCATTTCTAAATCTTTTACAAGTTCTGCTAGTATCTCTTCTTTCATCTGTATCTTGTTCTAGAACTTGCTCTAAATACTTTTTTTTTCTGGTGTGTCACCCTGAAACTGTTCGAAAAGGAAGCTAATGCATGACAATTATTATGCCTCTCAGTTGGAATGTCACTTGATGTCGTTAAAGTTGGTCCTTTTATGGGCAGCAAGATGAATAGTTTTTGTTTTTACTATTTCCCCCATTCACCCTGGAAATTATTTTGAAATAAGCCAAATATATCTTCCATGGTACCTTTTCATCATATTTCATTGGTTTCTCAATTGGAAAATGTTGTTGAACTAGCGAACTGAAGCCTGTAGCTGGGTTTAGTAGTGACATGGCTGGAGTGATCCAGAAAAGCCTTGCAGTAACACATGACAGAGCAGTAGTAATAATAGGTCTAGACCAAATAGATTCTCCTACTCTACGGTATGTGGTAAAAGGTATTTTAGGTTGGAATTCTTTGGCAAATGCAGAAAGAGGTGTGGCTGGTTTAATCACTGCATTTACCACTTCGTTTTATTATGCCACTGACATTATTTTCTACTTCAATGATATCTTTTTACTCTTCTTCAATTTTGTCATTACAAGGAATTCCACTACTGACATCATTGTTCTAACGTATTCTATTACAGAAAGGATTCTATCTCATCATTTTGTGAAAATAATGTGAAGTCTAGTCCAAGTAACGATAACTAATTAATTTATTTCTTTAATACATGTTTACTACATCCACGTTCCCTTGTAGACCTAATTTCACAAATTCTAAAACTATTGTAGGCCTAATACAATAGTAACGTTTAACAGAAATTTCCTTGATTGATAGCATATTAGCTTACTGAGTAGTTGACAGAAACACTAACTCTCACTGACACCAAACAACTCAATCAGTTTTCCCCGATTCTTATATCTATATTGAACTTTCACTTTTACCAAGTACGGGAAGTGTATAGATTCCAAGAATACTTTCACGAATCCCCCCCTGAAGGGTTATAATGCTGAAAATCGGGTTAACCTATAGGGCAACTTTGCGCTTAACAACAAACAAATTCTTATGAACTTTCTAAATCTAGTCATCATGACTAGTAGCTCCTTTTAGGAAACAATAAGTTATTATACTGAAAAATAGATTACAACAATATACTAATGACAGAACATCTGAAAGCCTTAATTCTGTTTTTCCATACACATGAAAGTTAACTATTAATGTTGCAAAAAATAAAGATGCATTTCGATAAAAAATAATGTATCAGTTTCAAAAATGTGAGGTTTTGAAGCTGGCTTCTCTACTAATTGTTGCAAAGAAAGTATTGTTTGTTCAATTTCGCACAAAGCTACATGTACTAGCCATCCCTAATTTTGAAGTGATAGTCAATATCATCTACCAACTCTTATACTAACGAATAGGGATGTTGACCGTTACGTTATAACATCCCCATGGTTGAAAAGCTAAGCATGTATGGTGATGGGAATCGAACCCATGACACAAAGATTACGAGTTGAGTGTCCTAAACCCCAGCCCATTCCAAGCCGCAGAGGAAACAGCTTCTACATGACTTATATGTAAATATATATATATATTTGCAAACTTTTAGTAAAAAATCTGTATCAAAATTTGAACTAATTTTTGCGATGATGAAGTGTTTTTATTCCGTAAAACGCAAGTTAAAATTTTCAAATCGGTAGACATTATCTTCAAAACTGCTTTCAATTAAACTTAAAGGCTTTGGTAACTGAAAAAGAGTTTAATGAATTTATCTTATCCAACAAAAAACACAAGATAACACAAATTAATCTGAACTTTTTAATTAAATCAAGTCAATAGTACAAGAATCTGTAAATTAGTAAGATAATATAAAGAAAATAGTTTTCCTGTACATAATATTTAAAAACGATATAAAAGACCTAATACATAAATTGGCATATTGAACTTCCAGCTTAGCTAAATTTCGTAACCCTATGGTAGCATTATGCGAACGCGAACACTTTGATGAAAGAGAACTTTACATGTGATCAATGTGGTTAGTTTATGAAGTCCTAAAGCGTTCTGCAGACCGAAAAGCTCCATAGTAGAGAATGTAAACTAAGAAAACGTTTAAGACCAATAAATCTGGCACTTTATTTGGACTTAAGGTACAATATTATCATATACAGATTTTTATGAAGTGTTTTTTAAGGGCTTAGAAACTATACATTCATTTGTATTCTCCTAATTTTATTACATACACAGTAATAAAGATCTCACCAACTACAGACATCAAAAGCTTACGTTTAAATTTAGCATATACAGCTAACATATTATTGAGCAAAACCTTTTAGATACGTATACACATTAGTGCTCTAAGCATTTAAGGCTTCCGAATCTAACGATAACAGCATTTTGAGGTTTCCAACAAACGTATTTTTCTACTCCAATGAATATTACAGTCTCTTGATTGATCTAGCAAGTATGGGCTACTGTATAAATACTTACCAGTCTGCTATTATAAAATGTAATTTCATCATTCCTTTGTTGGGAAATCGTCAGGAGTACTCTTGATTTAAATATTACGAACAGCTTTGATTTTGTGTGAATTACATGCGAACATATGAAAGGTAAAACATTAGATAAGGCGTTCAAATGAACCATGAATTTTAATAAAATATGCCTCAGAATTGCTTCTACTGAATAACAAGTCACACGTACTGATCGGCCTAGTAGTAGTAGCCACAAATATATTTAAGCTGTATGCACGTATAAATAAAAAAAAATCACGTACTATTTGTTTTGTAATCATAATTGCAAAAGGTTAGCTAAATGGAAGAAAAACTGAATAATTTATTAAATAGCATCAATGAGAAATACAACAATTAAATTTTCGTTATAGAAACAAGTCTTTATAGTCAAGACTAACGCGGTTTTGTGTGATACACGGTATTTATTTAGTGTGGAACACATGTTGGGTGGTTTTAATTTGTAGTGGTGAAGGTAACATTATTTAAATTAAAATCAGTTATCTAAACTGTTGGTGTGAAATTTGAATAAGTCAATAAATATGCAATGTCTTACCATTATACTTTCACAAACTGAATTCTAAGTTTACGTTTTTATTGTTTAAGTACCATAGGAATCCTGCATACCGTTAATAAAAAGAGTGTTGAAAATTGATTTTTTTGTATTCCAGTCAGATAGTTTAATGGAAAACAGGTGTTTTCAAAAATAATTTGTTTTTGTTTACACAACTAATGTAGTTTTGTAATAATCGAGTACTTCATAATATAAATGTGTGCCCTCTTTCAGTGTTGCTTTTAGTCAGGAGAAAATATTTAGTATCACCAATATCTTTAGATTACTAAATTTATATTACTACATTACAATTTACAGACATATTAAGATCACCTACTATAACCACAATATTATCATCAGTAGATCAACTTTTAATGGTGCTACAAACTGATAGGTTAACTCTTTCACAATCATTGGCACATATATTTATCCTTTTATACAGCATTGCCACGTGGGTTTGGAGTTTTGTACTCCCATGAAGAAAGGGCATTTCCATTCAAACTTTCAAAAATGTACAGTTTCAAATGAGTATGGAAAATATTGAATCAGGTGTTTTTTTATTGTGTAGCTAAACACTGGGAGAGTTGTTTATTAATAAAATTAGCTTTTTCTATTATCAGAGATTCAGGTAAGGAAGTGGCAGACTTCTCCTTTGTGATGCTTAGGATTTCATTTTGAAGATCTAAAAACAAAGTATTTCAAGACTTAATCACAACATAATATCATTGTTAACTTTTAACAGACAGTGTCTAGGCAAGGTTAGCCAGATAATATGATTCTTCAAGCTTGTCAAGAATGTATGCTGCCATTATACTGTATGAGTAGTGAATTCAGCATTTACCATAGATCAACGTTACTCAACATTTTTAATGTCCGGGACCTGCTCACTGCCTCCCTAAACTGTCTTGGACCAATAAAATGCAAGTAAAACGAAAAACTATTATGATTAGCATGTGAATATTCTGCAGTTTTTGTTTGTTTGTTTTCATGAAATCCCACAGATTGGAAAGGTAGTTGTTATGGGCTAGCACTGATCCACAGACAAGTAGTTCAGAAATACTGCTCTAAATTAATAAACTTTAATGGTTAATATTCTTTCATACTGAAAGTTAGAAAGAAAAAAAATATTGTTCTTGATAATCCAGATACTTCTAAAAAATATTGAGAATTACAAAAATAAATGGAGTGAAATTGTTTGTTTGTTTGTAATTAAGCACAAAGCTACACAATGGGCTATCTGTGCTCTGCCCACCACAGGTATCAAAACCCGGATTCTAGCATTGTAAGTCTGCAGACATACCTCTGTGCCACTGGGGGCAAATGGAGTGAAATGATAGGTCTTGAGTGTAATACATACATGAAATATTTTCTCTCTATTGGACTTTAACCAATCTATCTCATTTTGAATGCAGTATTGCTATTCTTTAAAGTTGGTAATGTTTAATGTTGGAAATATATTTACAGAGTTGTGTACATAATATGTACCTGATAAAAATTTATTTATGGTAATTTCAGATCATGGGTATAAATTTGGCAGATTTTTTAGGTCTTTCATGGTCATTATGATGAAAAGTAATATTAATTAAATACAGTAGACTAAGCACAACTGATGACAGGAATTTGAATAAAAACATTTGTGCAGTAACTTGGAAAGTCAGAAAAAAAGTTGTTTAAGTTGTAATTACACACCCATGATGGAGACTCCTTCTAACACAGCTAAATTATATTGGACACTAACAATTTTACAAACTTATTGACTTTTATAAATAGAAAAATAAAATTCTCATGTATTGGAGTTTAAAAACAAACAAATGAATGGACCTTAAAATAAACACAAGCTCTCATACAAATGTCTATACCAACATTCATTCTAAAAAGAATATTTTTAGTTCTGTAAATAAGAATCCTGTTTAGACAATTATGGTCATAAATTGGGCAGGTCAAGAAATGAGAGGTAGGTTACTCAAGAAGACTAGTGGCTATATCTGTTTCTGATCCTGACATTAACAATTACAATACAAAAATGGTCATGATACTTTTTGATTAAAAACGAAACAAAACATACAAGGTTATTACCAAAGTTGATAGCAAAAGTACAACTTTAAAGTGATTCTCATATCACACATTATATCAATGACTTATAACATAATTTGCATTTATATGTGTCATTTATAATAAACTTGAATGTACCAAATTCATGATATTGCACAGTTTATAATTTATTCACCATCATACTGGCATTTGTAACAATAATGCTTGACTAACTTGTTTGTGTCTCTCAATATCCACATGGATCTTCTTTGATGTCATAAATATTTTAACAAAAATACTAGCTATTCCTACAAGTCACAAACATCCTCCCGTGACTGTACTCACACATCACAAGGACCCCTGTTGACTTAATATAAAGTTTTGTAAAGCTTTATTTACTTTTGTACCATCATCCTAAAACAAATGTCAGACATTATCATATCATATCTGCATAATACTAGTTTATGTAGGTTCATCATTCTAGGTCCATACAGTCATGAGCATGCATTCCTTAATGTCTCATCCAAGTCATCTACATGTAGCCTTTTTTAAATCACCCTTTTACACACTAGCAACCTTGCTGAATGATCCTCTTAAATATCACTAGGTTTCTTTAATGACTGATTATTTTACATGTTACTAGAGCTCATGACGGAGCATGTGATATTTATTATCTTTGATTAAGTTTCTTTGATGACTGAGGTCCATACTCCATGTCATCAGATCTCTTGATGATTTGTTATCTTTATTATCCTTAAGTTCTCTTCAAGTCTCCTTTTTTATGCCATAAGGTTCTGCTGTTGAATCACCATTTAATATGCTACTAGAATACCATAATTATTTGTATTATAATATTTAATTTTAACTCAATATATTGTATGTATTACAGTTTTTTTTTGTCTTGACAATCTATATGTAACATTAAAACCTTTTTCTTTTAATTTGCAGTACACTAAGTTCTTTGGTGATTGACAACCTGTCAATTTCATGTCATTTCTTTGAGCTTCATCAATGTGCATATTCTATGTTTGTCATGAAGTCAACACTGTCATATTATTAACAAAGATAGAATAATGCTGGAACCATTATGAAGCCTACTAGTATAGCCTAATTATCTATGTTCATAATATAATATCAAGGAATTTAAAAGTTCAGTTGTTTTTAAATCATTTTGATAAAATATTCATAAAAGCACAATGAAAAGATGGTTGTTAAAATTTTGCTCTGGTTGATACTTATAAAAAAACAAAGGAGAATAACATGTTGGATACCTGTTTTCTTTACCAACATGACATTATTGTAATTCCATGTAGAACTATACTCTTTTAAGTTTTATTACTGACACAACATTGTCGAAGTTATTAAGAAATTGATACCTACATCCTATTTCTACAACTTGTAAGTTACTAAGAGTATGAAATTACAGTCAGATGATCTAACACTACAATTACTCCACTGAATAGTTGATACTATAACTCAAGTTTCTTTTTGATACAACACTAATATACCTAAATGCAAACAATATTATCTTCATGTTACTTTCTCTGAAGATTCAACACTAATACATATCCATGGAAAAGACGTTAACTACACCATGAAGAAGATGATATCTACATCTTGCTTTTCCTGATGGACTAAATCTACTGCATATTCACCCATGTATGTTGGTAACTATGTCATTGTTTTTCCTCTCCCCCCGACCAAACTTACTGCGTTAATAAATCTTATAAGGTCATCATTCTTCTTTCTCTGATTAAGAACCATGAGAAATTTACAGAAAAGACTGTGAAACTATGTTCTAGAAAAGTTTGAAGCACAAGTATACTTTATAAAATAACAAATACTAGTTAGAGACGATACCACACCCTGAAACTGCCACCCCAGCTCCTAGGTACAACACACTAACAAACCAAGACTTTCTTCACAGAGATGGGCTTCTTTGATAGGTCACATCATTTGGGTGTGTTCCTTGACATTTCTACAAAAGAAATGAAATAAATTGTAATATATAGTAGCTTATTTTAAATTAAAAAGTGAATACTCGGTTTATTTCTTTACATATATAAAATGACTGGCCACTTTATTAACACCCCTCTTAAACATACATATATTTGTAGAACACTTCATTTATTTGCACATAAAAAAACAGGGTTGATGTTAATCATGTGATACGACAGGTATTTGCTTGTACTATATGAAGGAAGAAATCTATTTATATCATAGTAAGTTTGTGAATGTGTAAGAACAAGGATCTCTGACTTTCAAAGGGGCATGACAGTTAGCACCCATCTAACAAAAGTGTTGTGACCAAAGACCATATCTTTGTGTAGTTTTTCAAATACATCAGTCATTAAAGCCTATAAACAGTGGGAATTAAAAGGAAAATTGTCTGTTATTAAAAACATTATAGCCACCAGTTGTTGTTGACTAACTTAAATAAAGGGAAGACAATTGGCCAGGCTTATAAACACCATTTCCTTCAAGAGGTACTGGTATTTGACCATCTCTTGCTATACTATACAAAAGAGATTACAAAAACTGTGATATGACAGCTGACAATTAGTCCAAAAACAACTGTATCTTAGGTGGTTTGTTTTTTTTTTTCTTTCTGATAATGTACATTGTTGAATATAATGAAATAGTGTGGAGAACATTCTTGTGACAGAGACTGAATTGTTTGATTTCTCCAGAAGGGCAACTCACATTCAAAGCACACCGAATGTTGTTGCCTATCATGTACACACAACAGTGCTCTATTATCATTCCTTCCTAGATGAAGATTTAACACAAACATCCTGTTTTTATTGTCTGAAATTAGTTTCAAGAGCCAACAGTGATTTTAATTAATTTCCTTGACCACTAGATCTAAATCCCATTAAAAATCTTTGGGAGGAACTTGAGAATTATATTGGCCACCATAATTCTCATTCTACATCTATCATCCAGTAGCATTCCTTGAAGACTGGGCTACATACAATTAAACAAGACACCTTCCAACATTGCATGCAGTCTATGTTATACTGAATACAGATTACTGTTGCAGAGAAAGATGATCCAACTCAGTATTAAGTGGGAGTTTTCATAAAGTGGACAATCAGTGTTTATTAAGTACTTTATACTATATACTATATTAGATGATAAAAAATAAAACTGAGATTTAATTACGTCATTACTTAGGTACATTCAAAATACAAAATTGTGAAGTAAAATCTTGTTAAAATCAGCAAGTTAAAGTTCTATTAAATAAAGGAACTTACTTTTGTACTATAAAAACTATGAACCAAGAGCAGCACCAAACTCCTGAGAGTCAAAAATTTGGCAATTGTTTTTTGTTGCTGTATTTGACTTGCCATGTCCTTTAATACTACATTAAGTTGTTGCTGGTTTTTTTCTGCATTTTCATTTTAGATACAGAAGATGCTACAGCATACATAATAGTTCATTTCTAGAAAATGTTTTTTTTCTGTTTATATTTTTATTAGAAAGCATAACAGTCTAAAATATAGTTGAAAATATTGTTACTAATTTCTTTAAGTTTACAAAGGTTGAGCAGATGTTTTCCAGTCTTAATGAGTTATGTGATTCAAAATATATTACATAAACCTAGGAAGCCTAGATCTAGATTCTTGGCAAACTTATTATGTGATATGTGCTGTTATTGTAAATTTATTTAGACATTTGTTAGATTGATACTAGTAATCTGGTTAGTTATATTAGTGAGGGCTGGAGGGTGTGCATGACCTCAAAGGGTCAAACAGTATTCTGTACACTACCTTAGTCTGTTACATCTTAACTGACTTGTGTAACTAAGATAGGATTTTTTTCAGAACAAATTAATTGGAACTGATAGATCAGTGACACAATTTGGATAATCAAGCTTCTAGATTAGAAAATACAGCCACTAAAGATCAAAATAATAATGCGATCACATACTGAACATGACTTACCTGATATACAAATAAGTAGAAATAATAGAAGTACAAATACATAAAAACATAGTTAATAGAATATATAATAAAGAATAAAGTAGTCAACTGGTCATTAAGAATTTAGAAGTTTTTCGATCATCCAAGGATAACAAATTGATGGTTCAACTAAGAAAAAAAGGCTGAAGATACTATCAGACATTTTACAATCTTAGGGAACTTCTATAACTGCTGTAAGTTTGTTATAGTGTTAGAAATTTGGTGTGGATAAAAGTTAACTAGTTCCAAAAAACAGCTATAGTGTCTTCTAGGGATAATTACAATGCTTTGCAAAAGTATTCACCCCCCTGCAAAGTTTCCCACATTTTGTTACCATCTGAGCTTGTAATCATGAAACTTTCAAATAGGACTTTATATTTTGAATCTACACAATCTACTCCAAACTGAGAAAGAAAAAAAATAATTCAGATATTATGTAAGTAAAATAGATTTTTCAATGAAAATTAGAATATTCTCAACTGCATAAATATTCAACCCCTTTGCTACGGCAACCCTAAATCAGTTCAGGTGCAAAAGATTAGTTTGAAAGGTTATAAAATTAGTGTAATGGTATCTGTCTATGTGTGGTCAAAGTGGTTTGTTTAACTTCACTTCAGAGTAAATGCATCTGTTCAAGCCAAAACTCATACAGTGATACAACAAATCAACCATGAAGACCAAGGAGCTTTCCAAACAAGTCAGAGATAAAGTGGTAGAGCAGCACAGATCAGGAGAAGGTTACAAGAAAACTAAAAAGCTGGGCAAACAGGAAATTGGATAAGGATGTCACTGTGAAACCAACAGTGACTTTGAAAAACTTGCAAAGTTCCATGTCTGAGGTGGGAGTCAGTGTTCATATATCGCCATTATCCCAGTATCTACACAAAGCTGGTCTGTATGGGCAAGTGGCAAAAAAGAAGCCGTTACTGATGAAGAATCATCTTAAATCTTATATGGAGTTTACAACAAAGCACGTAAATGATACTGCAGATATGTGGCAGAAGGTTTTGTGATCAGACGAGACAAAAATTGAGCTTTTTTAGTCTATATTCAATGTATTATGTCTGGTGCAAGCCCAACACAGCACATCACCCAGTCAACACCATTCCAACTGTCAAGCATGGTGGTGGCAGTATCATGTTATGGGAATGCCCCTCATTAGCAGAGACTGGGATGCTTGTTAAGACTGAGGAGAAGATGGATGGTGCAGAGTACAGGCATATCCTAAAGCAAAACCTGCTTGAGTCAGCCAAGAATCTAAAACTGGGTCAAAAATTTACGTTTCAACAGGATAATGACCCTAAGCACAAGGCCAAAGCCACACTGGGGTGGTTTCAAAAGAAGAAAGTGAATGTACTGGAGTGGCCCAATCAAAGTGCTGACTTGAATCCAATAGAAAATTTATGGTGAGACTTGAAGATTGCAATCCATCAACAATCCCTAATGAACTTGTTGGAATTGGAGCAGAAAGAATGGACAAAAATTACACCATCCCATTGTGCAAAGCTGGTAGAGACCTATCCAAAAAGACTCACAACAGTAATTTCTGCCAAAGGTGTTTCCACCAAGTACTAACTTAGGGGCTGAATACTTACACAATCAGCAAATTTCAATTTATATATATATTTTCTTTGCAGGTTTTGCTGACATTCAACCTCCTTCACACATAACAGTGTTCATTAGAGTTTTGAATAAAAACAAGTTCATTAAAAAATTGTTTACATTATTTGTATTTCATCAAAATGTGACATTATTCGTTGGGGGTGAATGCATTTGCGAGGCACTGTACATCAATGAAACGATTATGCTACTTAAAGGTTTCCTTGGTTACACTGAATGTAACTTGAAAATTGACAAATTTTTTCTGCAATACAACATTGTATATATAGTACAAATCCTAATGCAGTATTTCTATGTAAACAGACATAATGAAAGCCTAGGAGAAAAAACGACTATTTAACCCTGATTAAAACAACTGAGAATTACAAAGAAATTGAACAATGGAATGCTTATTCAATAAAGATGCTTACAGCTTGCTTATTTTGCCATGTTTTCATAGCCATTTTGTATTTCTCAAACTCATGACACCAATCAGAGTAAATTTTCTTGTAATCGTTTTCTGATGGAGCACTGCAGGTTTCTGAAAAAAAAAGCTTCATTTTAGGCCAGCAGTGCATCTTTATTTATAATGTTTTTATACAATGTAAGGCCATAAACTTCTGAATTGTTCTAAACCGCAAACACTTGTAAAAATTAACACTTTCAAAGTGTTGATGATATAAAACCAATCCTTAAACTTTTCTAGATCTCATTCATTCATATCAAACACCAAGATATTTCTGTCAGAATAGAAGTTTCATTAGTTTTTCATTTCTTCCTTTCATTATATTAACTACACATATCTATGCATAATTCTTTATAATGTTTTTGCAATACACATATTATTAAAATAGAGTTAATAATCCTAAAAAAAAAGAGTCTTGCATTAATTACATTCTTCTAAATGATACTTTTTATTTCCATCTAATACATTCCTTTATGGCCCTATTGATTCTGACTACAGTTATTAGGCTTATATCAGCATTACTTAATGATTAATTTTAAATAAATTTGTTAGAGCAAAAAATAGATTTAATAGATCATGGATTTAAAGAGGTTGAGTATGTTATATTAATAAGGTTTTGAAGCCTCCCCATATCATCACACCCTTGTTGCCATGGCTGATCATGCTCTATCTGTTGTTTATGTATCTTGCCAACAGTCATGCAGGGTAGCTTCCTTTGCAAAATGCTCTGTCCTGAGGCAGATTGAAAGCACACTACTACTCTTTGCAAGCTTTTCATAATACATCTAGTGTATGAGAATGAAAGATTCCCAGTGGCCATTTGAAGAGTCTAATCATGTATAAACTTGACCAGTATGTTTTCATATGGACAAGTATGAATTCTTATGTTGTATGAAAAGGTTGAATGGATATGTTGTGAAAACAGCTTGTGCACAAATGACTTTGGCACTTTTTGTAGATGAAGATTCATCTTAGCTACATTGCATGCTGTTGTTTGGGACACATGGACAGCTTGTGTCATCAACCTTTTTTTTCACAGATTTTCATCTGTAACATGACACTACACTCTCCTATCATGGAAATTCTAAATCCACAGTCTGAAAACACCTTTGTGATCCAAGTGTATGAATACTTTTTACTGGTAAGTGCTGTTCCATACCCTTTCCAAAAGCAATCAATTTACCATGGCATCAAACCACCTATAAAAATGCCAAACAATATCAAAATGTAATTCTGATACATGCCATTCCATTGCAAGTTTATATCAGCCATGGTTGTCATAAAATACTTATTTGCATATTTAAATTGGTTTTAAGATAATGTACTCAACCTTCTCTATAGCCATTTAAAAACTTACAGAAAATGTATATATGTGTGTGTGCACTTGGTTGTGTCAAGAATTTAGCTCATTTATAAAGTTCAAATTGAATTTATAATAAAGATTGTTGATTAATTAGTTATAAGTTTTGTGTGAATCTATACAAGGGCCATCTGCACATAGTCAATCCCTAATTTTGAACTGAAAGACTAGAGGAAAGTCAGCTAGTCAACAATACCCACCTCCAACTATTACTTTTACTTTTGTCAAATTAGTTCTAGTGTGATTTAATCATTACTTTTATAGTAAACTCATGGTCTCATAGTCAGGAGCACGTTTTTACAGCAACAGGATGCAAACCATGAACCATCAGATTTACAGTCGAGGTATGCTAATCATTAGGTTATTCCCAGTCCAAAAATTAACAAAAAGAAAGAAACTTAATATGCACTTCACTGAAACAAAAAAAAAACCTATTTGTTTTATCTAACTTGTAATATTTACATGTGTCCTGGATTGGGCTGTACCATGATGTTAGGGGTTACAGAAATAATTATTATTCCTAAACTTTACTAAGAAACTACAAAACAACTGAAGACTTACTTGAATCCACTGTCACAGTGTAGTTACACAAAATATTGTCGCCTAGTTTACAGACATAGCGACCACTGTCACGGTCAGTCACTGACATAATGACCAGCCCATGGTCTGAAGTAAGAAGGTACTTATCTCGGTGGGGTTTAATCAATCGAATTCCTTTCTCATGACTATGATGAACCCACTGAAGTTGTCCTAAGCCTAGTTTATCAATCTCATTGGAGAATATTGTACAGCCTAGGTGAACACTTTGACCCCAATATGCATGTTGCACTTTTTTTTTTTCACCTGTAAACCAAAGATGCATGAATTACTATCTTTTAATTGTTTATCTGCTGAGCATAGAAAAACAGCTTAGATTAAGTTTGTGATTACTAATTATGCTCCTGACGTATTGTCTATTTATTTGATACAACAGTTAAACAGAAAAAAAAGTACAGCCTTTGTCTGTAGAGATTAAAGATTAATAGTTTTGTGTTTGCTTGTTTGTTTGTAGTTAGGCACAAAGCTACACAATGAGCTATCTGTGCTGTACCAATCACAGGTATCAAATCCTGTTTTTTAGTGTTATAGTTTGCAGAATTACTGTTGTGCCACGTGGGGGGAGGACAAGATTAATAGAGGCACTAATAACATTTTAATATGGTTCATCAAAGAAAGTCATAACATTTCTCCATTTTGCATGTTTTCTTTTTTTGTGATTATATGTTATGAAAGACAAAAGTGCACGATCACAGAAGCCATTCTGTAAGGTATGTTTAATTATATCTTAAGCACTCCTACAAAACCAATTTTTTATGACTGTTTTATCAAGGACTTCAAAAATAAGTTTATAGCAATTCATAGTTGTTACGTAACATCTGTTCTTACTGTATTAATTATAAAATTGTGGTATTCTTAGGTACACAGAGTACTTTTTAGATAAGGATATTAACTGTAAAAGTAGGAGGAATGGCAGTACAAGGCATATTGAATTAGAGCCAAATATCTGACTTTGAGTTGGTTGAAAAGAAAAAACACCAAAATATAAAGTGAAAAAGTAATGTTTATTTATAAAAACAAGGTGATAACTTGATAATTATTTATTACAAGAATAATCAAAGGGACAAGTGCTGTATTCTAACTGGTGAGAGTTATTTATTCTAGTAATACTGAATGAATGTGAATGAAATTGGGGGAGTATAAAAACTACATACAGACACCAATAGTATCATCTTTCTCAGAATATTAGTCACATCATTGGCCATTATACCAGCAAAGACAGGGAGGTTATAACCTCCAGTATCACAGAACCTGCCACATAAATGTAGTGCTACAGAAACTACATAGTACATTAATCTACATAGAACGACAGTGACCTATTGCTTTAGAAAGTTTTACATGATACAAAATGGGAAGACCTATAACAATAAGAAACCAAGGCAACTGCACGTTATCTGCATGCCAGGACTCATCTCTCATTGTTAAACTTACATGCATAGCTAAGTGCATATATGTGTGAAAAATGTTGAATATTATAGTTAAACAAGAAAGTTCAGCAATCTAAGCTAAAAGAAACAAAACACCTAGTAAGCTTTGCATACTTCAACATTAAGTTACAAAATTATAATCTTGTTATCTTCTTCAAAACAGATAAGTAAAGAAATGTGATGCTTAACAGCATAATTGTTCACATTCAAGAACACTTCAAAGATGTTTATATACGTTCACCAAGATTAACACTTTTTGTTGAAATCTCTTTTAAAACTAAATTGGCAATGTAGAACAAACTACATGTAAACCATTTTTGTTGAGTATGAGATAAAGTTTTATCATACTTACAGTTTTCACATATCTGAGGTGTAGCACTGGTTATATCCTGTAACAAGCTGTAGAGAAATAAACAAAAAAATACTATATTAACTATAGTCAGTTTCAAGTAAACTTAACTTTTTATAATTTTAAAGCACTAAAATAAATTCTTGTATTTCACTTATAATTTACACTAAAATAGGAATTTGAAATCCAGCTAATTCATATTTGAACAGCTACAATTTGAAGCATTAATATGACATGTTTTACACATAGGTTTCAAGGTTTCTACATACTGCATTTTCCTAATATCTAACTTAAAATGAAATGTGAAATTCTAAAGTAACTCAGAGAAAGACATTGTATTTTCCTTTACTTAAAATTCTGTGAGCAAATTCAGCCATATATGTATGATAAAAATTGTTATTTTGTAGCATGAACCATTTTATTTTTCAAATAACTCTTAGTTTTGTGCATGATCTAACTCTCCAACAGCCATGCCAATTAATTTATGAGAAAGCATTTGAACGGACTATACCAATCAAGTATTTATTCTTTTTACAAAGCTGTTGAATTAGTTTTTACAGTTTGATTTTCTACCTACCCACCTACTTCTTTAGTACCCCATCCCTCCAAATATATATCTATGAAAAGATTTAAGTTACAAAATTCATTATAGCAGAGGTTCCCAAACTTATGGTCCACGGCCTCCTGGGAGTCTGCAATAGTATTTAAGGAGGTCTGCAGTAAAACCTCAAATTTATGAAATTACCATTAACTGAAAGAGTAACGAATATAATAAAATGCTAAGAAAGTAAAAACTAACATAGTAATATATTGTTACATCTCCGTTCGTTAATTAACTTTCCGTAACTTCGTTCTGACGAAACTTTAG